CCTCCTTACCGGCCAGCTTGGGAAAGGTGGGGTGAAAAGATATAGCCTCTGGAATCTGGTTTATTTATCTGTCATCAAAATAAGGTGTGAGGAACTGTTGAATGATCGTGTACAATGGAGCTGGATTTAACACCTAGAAATCTGCCCATCTGAATCACCTGGAAGAACTGCAGGGTGGGGGCTGCTTAAGGACACTTTAAAACATCGATTTGTAAAGAAATCCCTCAGATCCTGTCTATTATGCCTACTATCAATTTCTCTTAATAAAAGTTCCTGTTGAAAGAGATTGTTTCCAAGAGTTCTGCTTTCTTAAGATATGGATTGAAGTGGTTCCTTACATTGCTACCTTACTGAGATATTCCTGGATGCTTTGGTTTTGTCGAGGGCAGTGGTCTTGACACTCACAATACCCTGCCTGCCTTGTTTTCAACTAGTGTCTCTGGGTGTTGAGTTTGGAATGGAAGCCTCCATATATTGTGAGGAGCTTTCCAGGTCTTCATATTGGCAACTTCCATGTCCTTCTTTGGCCAGCCCACTGTATTGGCAGCTATCTGATGATTGTAGGGCACAAGTTGATGGCATGGAATTTGTTCTTCTCATTGAACTGGCTCTTCAGTATTTGATGATACAGTCCTTGACTTACAATAGTTCATTTAGTGATTGTTCAAAAGCACAATGGCACTGGAAAAAGTGACTTCTAAGTGTTTTTCACACATACGACCATTGCAATATTCCCATGCTCATGTGATCAAAACCCAAATCCTTGACAACTGGTTCATATTTATGATGGTTTTCAGTGTCCCAGGGTCATGTGATCCTCTTTTGCAACCTTCTGACAAGCAAAGTCAATAGGGAAGCCAAATTCATTTAACAACTGTGTTACTAACTTAACAATTGCAGTGATTTACTTAACAACTGTGGAAGAGAAATTGTAAAATGGGGCAAAATTCATTTAACAAATGTCTCACTTAGCAACAGAAAATTTGGGCTCAATTTTGGTTGTCAGTCGACTATCTGTACTTGGATGCTACTGTCTTCCTTGCCTGTTTATCATGGTTCCTCTGTGAGGGTGGAATATCATGTTATTTGTAACTTGTCTGTATGCCAGCTATGTGGCCCGCTGGTTTCATCCCATCAGTTTTAATTCCCTCTCTTGACTACCATTCAATCATCTCTCTTCAATCTGAATGACATCTCTATGTCCCCATGACAGGTGGGTCAGCAAATTAATGTCTTAATTATGCTTAGAATAGCTTAATGTCATCCAAATACAGGAAGTGACTGTTGATAGTTCCACTCATGAACAAATAGTCAGTCCTTGTGATTATCTGGCTGAGAGGATTCAAGTCTATGCAGAACAGCAGCAGCAACAATACACCCCCTTGGTATGTGTCATATTTTATGGCCACCCGAGTGAACTCTCTTGAACTGATTTCCAATGTTGTGTTCCACACTTCCATTTTGTTGTTGAGGAAGATCCTTAATGTGCTGTTGATGTCATATAGTGCCAGGCATTTGCAGATGCACATGTGTGGCATTGAGTTGTAGACTTTCCTATAGTCCCGTGGTGGTAAACCTATGGCACGCATGCCACAGGCGGCACATAGAGCCCTCTCTGTGAGCACGTGCACCATTGCCCCAGTCCTAGGCCTTTAGTCTCATTCATGAGCTATCTGCATCAAAATCTCCCCGGGCAAATGGCTTTTTATAAAATCTTTTCGCTTTAGGCCTTCTCCGCCATGCGCAAAAAATAAAAAGTTCAACCAATCAATCAATTTCAACTTCTCGCAGGAAAAAAAAGATCTTGCAAAGTTGGAATTAATTGATTGAATTTTATTTTTAGTCCCACACAGTGGTGGAAAAAGTGATGGGGGGGCGCATTAGAGCTGAAAGAAGGTGCCATATGTGGATGGGGGGAGTTCGAGAGTTGGATCAAGGTGGCAGAAGCAGGGTGCTCTGTGAGGGTTGGTCAGGGTAGCGGGAGCAGGGTGCTCTGTGAGGGTTGGATCAGGGAGGCGGGAGCAGGGTGCTCTGTGAGGGTTGAGTCAGGGCAACGGGAGCAAGATGCTCTGTTCAAGGGTTGAGTCGGGGTTGCGGGAGCAGGGCACTCTGTGAGGGTTGGGTCAGGGCAGCGGGAGCAGGATACTCAGTTCAAAAGTTGGATCAAGATGGTGGAAGCAGGTTGCTCTGCGAAGGTTGGTCAGGGCAGCGGGAGCAGGGCACTCTGCGTGGGTTGGGTCAGAGAAGCGGGAGCAGGGTGTTCTATGAGGGTTGTGGTGGCAGGAGCAGGGCATTCTGTGAGGGTTGGGATGGGGCAGCAGGAGCAGGGCGCTCCGTGCAGGGGGTGGGGTGGGATGGTGGGAGAAGAATGCTCCGTGCGAGGATTGGGGCGGGGTGGCAGGAGTAGAGTGCTCTGCAAGGGTTGGGGCGGGGCGGCAAGAGCAGGGCACTCAGCAAGGGTTGGGATGGGGCAGCGGGAGCAGGGTGCTCCATGCAGAGGGTGGGGTGGTGGGAGCAGAATGCTCCATGTGAGGGTTGGGGCGGGGTGGCAGGAGCAGGGTGCTCTGCGAGGATTGGGTTGGGATGGCGGTAGCAGTGTGCTCTGTGCAGGGGTGGGGCAGTGGTAGCAGTGTTCTCTGTGTGAGAGTTGGGTCAGGGCTGCAGCAGCGATGGCACACTCAATCGGGGGGGGCGAAGTAGTGGCTGGCGGCAGGGTGCTTCTCACTGTGGTTTTTTCCCTGGACCTTTAAACCATTTTTAAAAACACAAGAGTTGTATGTATCACTGAAAAGCCAACCCATGGCTGAATGGAATACATCGGTCTCCTTGAACTTACCATCTTGCTGCACGTCAGAGCAAAACCTTTCCCGCTAACAATAACTAAGATGGGTGTTCCCCGTTTTAAAGTAACAACCCCACAAAAAACCCACCCTTCCCCCCAAAAACATGATCTGTGTACCTCCGAAGCCAATGCTTAATCAGAAAGTTGTCCAGACCCCACCCCAAGGTGAGTGGCTGAGGCTTCGCCACACCTGGAGCTTTGGGAGTGGATGAGAGCTGCCTTTCAAATGAAGGTGGGGGGAGGGGAGGATGAAATTCTTTGGACCATAGCTTTTCTCATACTTGCATTCCCTCCATTTTTAATCCCATGAAGGTGTTTGGCTATTTTATTAAGCCATTGGTGGTAGCCTTCATAGCGCTGTTAACATCATGGCTGTGGCTGCTGATGGACACTATTGGCCCCCATGTGCTCGCTGTGTGCAGTGTCAAGCAGCAGCCACCCCAGCTCCTGCCTTGCCTTGCCCTGCCCTGTGGCAATGGCACCCCTGCCCTGCCCCCTTTCTTGCCTCACCTCACCCCAAAGGCGAGCTTCCTGCCCACCATCCCACCCACCAGAAACTCCCTGGATCTCCCCCAACCCTGCCCGGCCCCCACAGGCATCCCTCCCCACAAGCAACATCGAGATGGCCATATACACCCCGGCCATGCCCACCCAGTCTGCCATGACCACTGCAGCCATGCCCACCCAATGGCCATGCCCATCTAGTGGCCATACCCATCCTGCACCCGACGATAAATAAGTGAGATTTGGGTTGCAGTTTGGGCACTCGGTCTCTAAAAGGTTCGTCATCACTGCATAGTCAGTCCAAGTTGTATTCATATTGAACTTTTTAAAGCTTGAGTATTGGGTGACTATTTTATTTATAAACAAATGGTGCTTTGAACTCTGATGTTGTTCCCAATGCTCTTCTGAGCTATGTTCATGTACTGTATTTATATGGCCCTATAGTTTAGTGGCTATAATGCCTGATAGGACATGCCATGTTGTGGGGAGGCAGGTTATTGACCAGTATTTGGCTGGTGCTATTCCCTTGTGGAGGTCTTTCATGATCAGCACAGGCCTTTCTTAGGCTAGTGAGTCTGGGTGGAAGTCTGCTGCTAGCAGCTGGTTCATCTGTGGTGCTAGGCTTCATACATTGCTGTTAATTTCTTTAGCCAGGAGGTGTGGATCACTCTGGGCCAGATGCAGTCCAGCTCTTCAGGTTCTTGGACTATTATTGGATGTCTGTTGCTGTGATACTGACTGGTTCCTATTCTGGGAGATTGCTATGGTCTGATATCAGATCCTGTAACCATTTTGCACTAGTATTATGTGTGTTTTCTTTCTCCCATATGTTCTTCCAAGTCAGTTCAGTTTCTGCTGTCAGAGGCTCTGCTTTTACTGTGTAACTGCATTGCAATTTAGAGTATCCCTTACATGGTTCTTTGGAGATAGGACATTTATCTTTTTGGCCTCTGCTTCTCTAAACTCCTTAGTCTGCTGGCCAGTCTCTGGGCTTCAGATGCCTATGTTTTTTTTTTCAATAGCTGAGTTTTATCTCTTATCTTCACATTTTTCTATAATTCCACAGTTGATTAATCTCTCTCCAAGTTGCCTTTATCTTAGCCTCTAACTTCATTTTTGGGGAGGGTGTTGGAGTATGTACTGCTATTCTTCTTTAACATGAAGCCAAATGGCTGAAGTGTACACTAGTCCCCAACCCCCAGGCCACAATCCACTACCAGACTGTGGCCTATTCAGAACTGGGCTGCGTGAGTGGCTGGCTGGCGCACATGTGCATCTGCACAGCTCAAGTTGTGTGAGTAGTGGACTGGTGCATGTGCACACATGTGTATGCTGGCCCAGCACTCACCTGAGTCAAGCTGCATGCCCATCTGCATCGGGCCACTGCTCATGCAAGTCAAGCTGTGTGTGCACATGTACACCAGGCTATCACTCATGTGGCCCAGTTCCCCTCTTCCTCCCCAACCAGGCTGCCAAACCATTGGTTCATTAGTTTGGGTTATCATGGTACTGGGATAATCATAAGGGCTCTACTGGCATCTTCTACCATACTAGAATGTAGATGATTTATCTCCACTGAGCCTTGGTAATAAGTCTTGTGTGTTAACTATAGCTAGTTTATCCACAATCTTATGCCTCATATCAGAAGGTGTACCTTATAACCAAGAGGGTGATCTTGATGTTCAGCTTCAGGTAGTAGCTACACATCCAATTGTTCTTTTACATCTTCTTGAGTCTGGGATAAAGAGAACAGTACAGAACAGAACAAAATAAAAAAGTTGGAAGGGACTTTGGAGGTCTTCTAATCTGATCCCCATCTCAAGCAGGAGACCCTATACCTGTCAAAATCCAATTATATTTCATCTAAAATGAAAGTGGGGTGGGTCCTTACATTAGACAAGACTTGCAAAATTAATCCACCGGGAAGGGAGACCCTTGCCAGGGGATTTTGCAAAAATTACCATGCCAGACAATGGAGCAGGGAAGGGAGAAAACTCCCCAGAAAGGGAGCCATTGCCCCGACTGAAACCCTGCCAGATGTTGGGATCCGAGAGGTCAGATTCCTCAGGAGAAGAGGTGGTGGAGACACGAGACCACAAGCCTCGCTGGTCAATGGATGTTGGAAAGAAAGGTGAGTGGGAAAAGAAATCAAGAAAGGTGACCCTGAGACGGGGGGCCAAGCAACCAGAATGGAAGCAGGAGATGGAGAAATCCCTGCATACCAGTGAAGAGGAAGGGAGCTGGGCACCGTACTCAGACTGGATCCTAGAGAAAGCTATCGGCCTGATGAAGAGAACTCTCAGCTCCCTAGGAGTGGAGAATCCTGAGCCCTACGGCTGCCCCAGCTCCTGGAACCGCAAAGGGAGAGACACCGAGGGGGAAGTGGAACCTGCAGCACCAGGGACATCTGCTGATCCAGTAGTCCCCACCCCCTGCCGAACCACAGATGGTGACCTGGATGGAAGACACTACCACCAACAACGAAGGCACTGATCCATTCCAAGACATCCACCGCTGGATATGAAATTCAAAGGGGAGCAAACACGCTTGGGGTTTTTCCTAACCCAAGTCCTCAGCTACATGGAGGAATACGGGCAGGACATTCCCAGCGACAAAGCCCGCATCTGGATCGTGCAATCTGCCCTGGACAGACTGGCTGCAGATTGGGTGATGAACTTGCACGACTACAATGCCCCAGAGCTCAACAACTTTAACCGTTTCATGTCCTCTCTGAGAAGGTGATTTGAGGACCCCCTGGCTGATCACAAAGCCCGCGAAAGGATAAAAATGATGAGGCAAGGCAAACACCTGATGGCCGAATATATGCAAGATTTCTGGGCCATTGCCAGCAAACTGAACTGGCCAGAAGACATCCTCCTTAGCCATTTCAAAGACGGACTAAATTATGACCTATATGACGCTTGCCTGCCCCGAGGGGACCCACACCAATTTGAGGAATGGTACTTCTTCGCAGAGGAAGCAGATATCGACATATTGAAGAGGCACCACCGAGGAAAACAATGGAGCCACCCCCCGCCTGAGTTGATGCACGAACCAGTGAAACCATTGGCCATAGCCAAGAAGTAAATGGGGTGTTTCAAATGTGGAAGAGAAGGTCATCGAGCTGTACAACGCCGCTCAAAAGTCCCCCAGAGAGATCCCCGATCAGCAAATCTGGAAAGTCTCCAGGTAAGCCAAAAGAAACTGCCATGAGAATGATGGAGGGGGTGGAACCCCCCCCCCACCTCCGCTCATCAGGGGGAAAGAACTGCAGCCTGTACACCACAGGGCCAGTGGACGCCTCAGACGACAGCTTGGAGGGCGAACCCCTGGTAAGTGGATACATTGCACCCATCCTCAAGACAGTAACTATATTAATTCCCCCCCATGCCTGAAGCCATGAAGGTGAAAGCCTTAATAGACTCTGGCTGCACCCGCTGCCTCATTAGCCCGACACTAGTGTGGAATCTGGGCATTCCGTCGAGGAGACTGGAACAACCAATTTCATTTGGCCAGTTAGATGGATCCATAGCAGGCAGGGTGCCAGCTACTCTAGCCACTTTACCAATACCCCTCTCCCTGGGAAAACATGAAGAGGACATAACGTTTGTGGTGACCCCAGGCATGGAATGCCCAATGATCCTAGGGATGGAATGGTTAAAAAAATGGAACCCCTGGGTGAATTGGAGGACAGCAGAAATTGAATTCCCGAAGGGGGACCCTATGGACTTAAAACCCCAAGGGGGACTACAAGAACCAAGAACAGAAAAAGCATCTATGAGGGAGGAAAAGGGACTACCAGAAATACCAGAAGAATACAGAGACCTTGCTGAAGTTTTCAGTGAGGAGAGGGTGGATAAGTTCCCCCCCCCCACTGACCCACAGACTATACCATTGAATTCAAGCCTGGGCAAAACTCCTGAAGCCCAGATTATACTCCATGAGCCAAAAGGAGAAGGAGGAAATGGAAAGATTCATAAAGAAAAACCTAGAGAGGGGGTTCATTGAGCCAGCCAAGCCTAAAGTGGCTGCCCCGGTCCTCTTTAGAGAGAAGAAGGATGGCTCTTTACGCTTATACGTGGACTATAGGGCCCTGAATACAATCAGTGAAAGCAACCTATACCTTCTGCCCCTCATGAAAGACATGCTGTCACACCTCTTGAAAGGGAAAAATTTTTCTAAACTAGACCTAAGGGAAGCTTATTATCGCATGAGAAATAAGGAAGGGGATGAATGGAAGACCGCATTTAACTGCCCCATGGGGTGCTACCAATTCAAAGTCTTGCTATTTGGATTATAAGGGCTCCCCACAGTATTTATGCAATTAATCAATGACGTTCTAAGGGAGCATCTGTTTAAGAGGGGTCCTTGTTTACTTAGACGACATTCTTATCTTCACTGAAACAAAAGAGGAACATGTCAACCTTGTCAGAGCAGTTTTAAAGAAACTGCGAGCCGCCCACCTATATGCCAAACTCTCAAAATGCGAATTCCACCAGGAAAGGATAGACTACCTAGGTTATCGCATATCCCCCCAGGGCATTGAAATGGACCTAGAGAAGGTCAAAGCAGTATTAGATTGGGCACCACCCCACACAAGAAAGCACCTACAAAGTTTCCTGGGCTTTGCAAACTTTTACCGCCAATTCATCCCCTCAGATTCCAGTGGTGTCAGCCGCACCAATGGCGGCGTTTTTTTAGCCGCCTGCTCTGGGATTGTGTAAAAGCCAGCGGAGACACTGACAATCAGCTGTCCCGCAGCTTAAAACTTCTTCTCTGGGAAAAAGAGAAGAGGAGAGCTGCTTGGGTAAAGGAAGAGCTCCCCTGGATCCCCATAATTTTGGGGAGATCGGAGGGTAGAGCTCCCTTGGAGCCCAAGCTTTACTCTGCATTCCAGGGCTCCTTTGTCCTGAAGTTCTGGGATGAAGCTAGACGCCGCTTCCACATCTGTGCCTTTTAGTGGATTTGTGAGTATTTATAAGCAGACGGAGAAGACCAGAAGGATTTAGATTTATGATTATTTGGGACTTTAACTCCTGAAAAGTATCTTCTCCTTTTCCTTTTTTTGCCTACTTTCTCTTTTGAAGAAGAAAGGGAAAGTGATAGAAGGCAAGATGGTACCTGGCTTTCTTGCTTGAAGATTTTTAACAAAGTTAAAAGACTGTTACAGTTTCTGTTTTAAACATAGAGGCAAGAATCTGGTTTTTTTTTCTTTTAATTTTAAATGGTGAATTTATAAGAATGGCTTCAAAACGCCTGGTTTCTTCAGTCCCTAAAGCTTCTATTTCCTCCCCAATGACTCAGACTGCCTCTCAGCCCAAACTAAAGACACCCCCTCCTTCTCCTCCACCTGTATTTTCTCTTAAAGATTTACAAGAAGCTTTGAAAAAAAAATGCTTTAGATATTAAAGAGGAGGTAGCTGATCTTTTGGATTGTAAGATGACTTCAGAGAGGGCTGCTATGGCAGAATTATTGGAGAAAAAAACAAGGAAGTGAGAGGATATATTGTTTGCATTTCAAGGACTTGCTATGCATATTGAGAGAATTGATGATAAAATGGAGGAAGTGACTGAAAATGCAGCAAAATTGGAAAGTAGAATTGAAGAAGTGGAGAATAAGTTAGAAATGACACAGGATGAACTGTTTCACAGTATAGAGAAATGGAGTTTGCATTGCATATCAGAGGATTGAAAGAAAATTTACAAGAAGATTTAAAGTGGCTTATTGTTAAAGATATTGCTTTTTACTTGGGTTGGAGACCGGAGGAAGTTGGGAATGAGATAAAAAAAATCTTCAGAGTTAACTCACAGGTTGCCAGACAAAGAAATTTACCTAGAGATGTGGTTATCTATTTTTCTAGAAGATTTATTCGTAATGAAATTATACAGGCTTTTTATAAACAGAGGTTTCAAATTGCAGCCCAAGATGTTATAATTTTAAAAGAAATACCCCAAAAAATTTTAAGAAGAAGAAAAGACTTTACTTTCCTGTCTGATGAGTTAATACGTCGCCAAATACAGTTTAGATGGGAGATTCCAACTGGGAAAGCAGTGAATTACGTTGGTACGCATTACAGATTAACTACAGTGTCAAAGGCAAAAGATTTTTATTTTTCTGTTCTGAAGGCAAGTTCACCTTCATCTCCACAAACAAGTAAAACTGAAGAAGAGTTAGCAGCTGCAGGAGCCTCTTCATTGATTGTTAAAGAACAAGGTGAACCTGCTGTACAGAATCTTGAGATAAAAGAACAGAGGATTACACGAGCTGCCTATAAGTGTAGAGAGAAAGAGCAACAGCAGAAGATCAGTGGAAAAATAGAAGAAAATGTCACCACAGAACCGGTGGGAGGGGCAAGACCTAAAAGATCCTCGACAATGGATCTTCAGGGTATGCTTCAGAGGCTTCAGGCCGGTGGAGATGGGAAAGTTCCTGACCTGGAATGTTAATGGCTTGAATTCATCGCAAAAAAGGAAAAAAGTTTTTGATTATTTGAAACAGCACAACAATGACTTAATATGTCTGCAAGAGACTCATATATTTAATAAACTCTCGCCTGGGATCACACTTTACGGGTCCAGCCCCAGGGAAAAAAGGGGGAGTGGTAATTTATGTGAAAAAGAATTTATTGGCTAAATTAATAGATTCTGACTCTCAAGGAAGATATGTTTTTTATAGATTTAGTATTACAAGGCGAGAAAGTTCTTATCGTTGGATTATATGCCTCTAATCAACAA